GAGAGCCACGATGCTCATGCCCGAACTCGAAGAACCGGTGACAACGCCATTGTACTAGAAAGAATGGTGACGTGATGATGGTGCGGTGCTGACGTGATGCGAGGCCCAGGGTAAGATTACTATAATAATAAGAATAATAATAATAATATTATTATATTATTATTATTATAAGAATACTAATAATAATAATAATATATTCAATATATTCAATATATTCAATATATTCTTCGGTGCAAGCAGCGGCAGCAGTGTAGGAGCCCAACATGCCTTCACCACCTCCACGGCGAACTTCGCCGGGTCCGATGTCTCCGAGACCTCAAGATGCAGGACAAGGGGTTTAGGGTTTAGGGGTTAGGGGTTTTGGGTTTTCGGTTTTGGGCTTAGGGTTTTGGGTGTCTATGAGTTGCGGTACTGCACATGCGGGGGAAATGGGTTTGATGGTGCTTCGAAGGCTTCCACTTGTTGGCCTGGTACCTTCGACGGGCACTTCTTGACGGTTGCATATGACATCGAAGAGATCAGAAAGCGTCAGGATAGTTCGGCAAGACCTTTGTTTGCTCTGGGAAGTGAAAATGGACGAACTCTCGGAACTCTGTGTCCTGCTCTTTCCTTTTGGGGAGAATGTTGAGCACCTCAGCCCCTTCCAATCCCCTATCGCTCCAACCCACGACTTGTCCCAAACCCTAAACCCTAAACCTCTTGATCTGCCGGGTAGCTGAGCTCCGAGACTCTGCACGCCGGCGGAAGTGCACGTTGCCATCCTCCAGACCCCGACTCAGACCCGGAGCATACCAAGTACATCTAACACTAAAGGTCGACTTCTCCTCCTACTCGGTCTACGGCGCCTACACGCAGGTGTGCGATCGCTACTACTAGCAGGAACCAGCAGTGCCGTACTTGGCATCGAGACTCGGAGTGCACTTCTGACTGAGGGTTTGCCGCGCCGTGCCTCGGCGTAGTGGCTGATGAACTCCAGAACACCCACCATCCTCAGAGTTTTGTTCGATGTGCGTTGACTGCTGTCTGCTATTGGCAAGCGCGCACTAGGCGAGACAGAACCAGCACAAAGGTTTAGGGTTTGTGCTTCGATCAGCAGTAGCGAGCCTGTGCACCCAATGAATCTAATCATCATCATCATCATCATCATCATGAACATCAACATCGCCATCATCATCATCATCATCATCATGACTATCATCATGATGGTCGCGAATGATGTCGCAACTGGTTCCTGCTACTCTTGCAGCTGCGGCAACAAGAAGTAGCAGAATCAACAAACGGAAAATGATGACCCCTAAATCCTAAACCCCACAACCCTAAGCTGATGACCTCTAAATCCTAAAACCCACAACCCTAAACTCTCATTTGAGAGCAGGCGTCTTGACCGGCTCGGCTTGCCCCGGTTCGAAGAGCGTACGCCACCTCTGCGCTGAAGACGCGGGCTTGTGAGAGCCGTGCTGGAGCTTCTGTGGCTGATCTTAAAGGGCTTAGGGATTAGGGCTAAGGGTTTAGGGTTTCGGGTTTAAGGCTTAGGGTTTGGGGCTTAGGGTTTAGGGCTTATAGGATTTAGGGTTTAGGGGTGGCTTTCTTTGTGCCTCGCGCTTTCAAGCCAGAGCGTTCAGAGCTTGAGGGCTCGATGCTTTGATTTATAGGTTCGGCGAGTCGGGGGACCTAAAATCCTCCTCCAGTGGGGTTTCAGTGATACCTAAGGCCACATCTCAGAGGCCTACATCCCGAAACCGTGAACTGAAGGCTTTGGGCTTTAGGGGTGCTCTTTTTTGTGCCCTCTGACAAGCCGTAGTTGCGTAGACCTCAGGTAGACCTCGCGTACATGGCTGAGGATGCCGGGTCTGCTGCATGTTCTCAGCTGCGGTACGTTCTGAAGAGCTCGGGGTTCAGGGTTTACATCGTAGTAATAACAATAACACGAATAGCAGTGATAATAATAACACTAATACAAATAATATTATTAAAAATATGCACAAATAATGAAAAGAACAATAATAATACGAATAATAGCAATAATAATAGTAACAATAACAATAACAATAAGAAGAATAGTAATAATGGAGTTAGGAGTTTAGGGGTCGGTGAGCTCGGTATTTGGATCCTGATGTAAGCAGTACGCAGGAAGACGACTTCAGAAGCGAAAATTTCCGAAATAGGATTTCCTCCGCAGATGTGTCACCACTGCCCCGACGTCAAAAAGCACGTGAACACCCTCATTCCGGCCCCCCGAACCACTCAGCGCACCCTGCGCCCCAAAGCTGCCAAGAAACAAGAGTCCCCTCTCAGACTTACATGGTTGGCCCTTTAAAGCCTCTGAAAAATATTAGTAAATAGGGTCCTCTTCAGCCCAATAAGGGAAAATATAAAATATCCCAAAGCTACCTAGCTTAAACCGCATGCACCCAAACACATGCAGCCCGCGTTGCTGGGAGGTCCACGTGCCGGACCATAATCCTTGTTTGAAACATCCACGGCTTCGGGGCTCCGGTTACAGTGGAACAGGCCCCGACAAATAGCACAAATTATGCAAAGCGAAGACCACATCACAGATTCCAGCAGCCTTTCGGATAGAGCGAACTCTTCGCCTAGGGTCAAGAAGATCACGACGACTACTCAAGCCCAGACCTAACGCCTGAAGACTTGAAATAAGATCCAAATATGCCTGCACAAGTGATTTTTGGACTTGTTTGGAGGGGATCTGAGATCTGAAAAGACGATGACACCATGTGGGTTTAGGAGGTTCGGTTTTTTTAGAACATACGAGCAAGCATTTTTCGAACCGTACGTACATCGTTTGCCAGCCCGAATCCCGGAACCATGGGGTAAGTACAACCCTATATGAGCCGCAAACGCCCAAACACCGGCTTCGAGCCACCCCCAACAACCTGCTGCCAAGTGCTGCAGAAACCTCGCAGACACCCCATAAGAACTCCACAAGATACTTGCAGCAACACCTACAGTACCGTTTCTTTTTCACCATTGTTTGGCTGGCTATCGTACCTTTATAGCATCCTTTGTGCCCTCTCATAGTAGGAGCCCAATGAAGCCTTGAAGGATGTATATATATATATATTATACTATATGCTATGTAGTAACATATAATCTATGTTATATATCACAGATCACAGATAAAAAATGTACTGTTCATATACAACTATATATATATGTATATATATATATACATATAACTCTATATGTATATATAATCTCTTAAAGGCACCGCGAGGTCTGGCCCGGCGGGCAGCGACGATCATCCTTGCGGGGCAAGCGGAGGGTCCTTTGAGGCTTCCTTTTCGGTGGGTTTAGGGTTTAGGGTTTGGGGACTAGGGACTAGCAATTAGGGTTTAGGGTTTAGGGTTTGGGGACTGGGGACTAGCAATTAGGGTTTAGGGTTTAGGGACTATAGGGACCAGCAATTAGGGTTAGGGTTTAGGAAAGGGGATTGGATCAGGATTTAGGGTTTGGGGATCAGGGTTTCGGGGTTTAAGGGACTAGGGTATAGGGCTTAGGGACGATTAGGGTTTAGGGTTTAAGGTTTGGGGATCGGGGCTTTGGGTTTTCAAGGACCAGAGTTTAGGGTTTAGGCTGCGGGTTTCTGTAGACTATAAGGGTCACTACAAAGGGTATTAAAAGTGCTCCTTTAAGGGGTGCTGCGAGAAGTTTGGGGGTTCTGAAACGCTCTCATGGTCATGGTAAGGTTTGGATGAGAAGGTTTAGTCATTGTCACGGGCTTGCGGCTGCAGATTTTGATTCTGGAGAGTTGGTGGTTTTATGTTGCGGAGGGCGGCTGCTGATCATGAGTGTTCGACATTAGTTTCGACACCGGACATTGCAACACAACTACTCATGAGGGCTTAAAGCTCAGGACGGCTTCAGAGTTGCAAGCTTACGTGGTGGTCTTGACTCACGTGCGACAGCAAGTAGCATCAGCATCTGTCTCATTCTTCATATCGCTACTGCTCGAGTAGTTGCGAACTCCCGTTCATCTTCCCCGCGCCCTAAACCCTAAACTCCCAAACCCTAAACAACCAAACCCTAAACTCCCAAACCCTGAACAACCAAACCCTAAACTCCCAAACCCTAAACTCCCAAACCTTAAAACCCTAAACCTTCTTGGCTCCCCTCCTGCCCCCCCTTCGAACTTCACAGCACCCTAAACCCTAAACCCTGAACCCTGAACCCTGAACCCTAAACCCTAAACCCTGAACCCTGAACCCTAAACCCTAAACCCCAATTGAAACCACCGATCCCGAAAAATCCTAAAGACCTCAAAAACCCTAAAACCCCTAAAACCCCTAAAGACCCTAAAAACCCTAAAAACCCTAAAGAACTCAAAAACCCCCTCTACCCCTACAAACCGCCAGAGACTCTGGGGTGGGCCCTTCTAGGCCCTTGAAGGCACCAAGGGAAAAAAACCCTAAAACCTTCTACCAAAAAGCGGTTTAGGGTTGAGAGTTATGGGTTTAGGGATTTACGAGGTTTAGGGGTTTAGGGGTTTAGGGTTGAGGGGTTGGGGGTTTAGGGCTTAGGACGTAGGGTTTCTAAACCTGCCAAGCCCTGAACTTCCGGCCCAGCAGCGTCAGCTCAATGTCGCCGCCCACTTCCTGGCCTTTGCTGCCTGGGTTCCAGCTCGCTGGTGGCGCTTCGGGGCGTTTACGGTTATGAAGTTTAGGGTCTGGGATATGGAGTTTAGGGTCCAGGTTTAGGGTCTAGGATCGAGAGTTTAGAGGTCTGGATCTAGATCTTTGTTTTCAAGGGATGTGAGCCGAGGGCACTATGCAGAGGACGAGCTGCTTATCCAAGCCACTGCGCCTGTGCTGCAAACCCTCCATATCATTTTCTTAAGGTTTTAGCGTTTAGGACTGTAGGTTTTCAAGCCTTTGTTTCGCTTCATACAATGCTACGAATCTAATCATCTAAGGTATATCGTAGGCGGAGGATTCTTCCGATGTTCTGCAGTTTTCCGTTATCGACTGCTTGCACCGAGCTGCTATAAAGTGTGTAAGAAGCAGCGCCTGTGCTCATGCCTCCCTGATCTGCATAGCGGCTGTCGACGTACCTGAGCTGGCATGTCTTCGGACATCCCACTGTGCTGACCTGGGGTGTAGGGTTAGGAACCAGCTTCTTGAAGCCACGAGCTGCCATACAATCACAGAGTCCACTATGCTTTCGATCGGCTTTGGCCGACTTCATATTATATAAATACTATATGTATGTATGTATATATATATATATATTTTTCCAATAATATATACTTGCTGCAAAAGGACAGGCAACTCGATCTTGAAGGCAGCAGCTAAGCTCTTGCCAAGCACCGAGGCACTTGCGCAGTTCTGACTTGAGCGCTTCTTTGAACGGCTCGGCGATCTCCTCGTCGATGTTGTCCTCGAACACTTTCAACATTGTCGGCAAAACAGCCTAACACGAAAGCGTCGAACATCGACCTAGGGTTCAGGTCTGGCACGGCTGTAGTTGAAAGACGATCTTGTCACATAATCCTGCAAGAGGTTCCCAAAGCAGCAGGCCCATCTAAGCACTTCTCCCAAACACCTTCGCCTGACGCACACCGGCATTGTATGTAAATTCCGGGGCACTACGCATGTACCCACCTGCTCACTCACCTTCAACCACTGACTAACCCACACACAGCTGTGTGAAAGCCGAAGATTGGTGTGAAGGCATATAATATAATATTATATTATATTATATTATATTATAGTATATTATATTATATTATAGTATATTATATTATATTATATTATATTATATTGTATTATATTATATTATATTTTATTATATTTTATTATATTATATTATATTATATTATATTATATTATATTATATTATATTATAATTATTATTGTATTATGTTATATTATCTTATATTATGGTAGAGTGACATCGGAGAAAAGGGCCGCCTTCTCCGGTATAAAGCTGTTTCAAAATTCTTGGTGTACATCTATGACTCTGCTTGATTGCACCATGGCTTTTTGCTGCCATGCTGCATGAAAGTTGCGACGTGTGTTTAAAGTGAGAACATTACTGCTGATATCACAACCATTACCATCACCAAAGGGGTCACAGGAAAAAGCAGAAGCAGAGGAAAAGAAGCAGCAGAAGAAGACTAAGACCGGCAGCAGCAGAAGAAGTCATTGTAGTTCGCGGTTTTTGCAGCTGCATATGCCGGTAGGAATGTCAAAGAGAATCCACAGAAACTGAGCAGAAAGTCCAGGTTGGCTCGCGCATCCACATTGCTGCGCACGTGCATTTATCGCTTACAGCCTGTTCAACTTCAAGCAGCTGCATCACAATGCTGCGACGATAGAACCAAGTACCCGAACAGTGCCTGATAGAATCCTTAATACAATTGCGGTACCCTATAGAACCCCCACAGTGCCCTTAAAGCTTTTTCTACAGCACCTTGCATGCCTGTCTCATTCGACTACTGTTAGGCTCGCCCATTTCCATACACCAGCCTAAACCCAAAACCCTTAACCCCAAACCCTAAACCCGAAACCCTGAAGCCCAAACCTAAATCCACCCGCTCCAGCTTAGGCGATCTTCCTCTCCAACAGGGCAAGGAAGGCTTGAGCCATTGGTTTAGGGGTCAGGGTTTAGGTTCCGAGGATTTAGATCTGGGGCTGAGGGTTTCGGTGGCCTCGCATCCCAAAACCCCAGAAATGGAAGAAAAGTAGGGCCAGGCGAGCTGCCATCTGGGCCATCAGGTCATCCGATTTCTGCTGACTCCACATTCCTGAGATGAGGGGCTGCAAGACTTCAACTGGTTTGGGTTTCGAGGCCATTTTGGGGGTTTAGCGTTGAGGATGATTTACATTCCCCTGCGACAGGACGACGTTCTTTGACTTCTTGACCCAAGCATCACTCTGGAAACACATGTTCGTGCCCAGCACCCCCCCGCCCCCAAAAAAAAAAAAAAACTCAACTCCAAAGCCCCAGACTTCAAGAATGCCAAAGCGACGCTTTGGTGCAGCCCGAAACCTCGCCGAATGGGTGTGGCTGAAATGCTCGCGGAGTCAAGGACCCCGCCCCCGCCCGCTTTGCAACGCTGGCGAGGCAAATCCGAAACACGACCACCTGACATCCTGCCCACCCTAAGCCCTTAAACCCTAAACCTTAAAACCTAAACCCCTAAACCCTAAACCCCCAAAACCCCCAAAACCCCAAAAAAAACCCTCAACCCCTAACCCCCAAAAACGCCTAAAGCCCGGCTCCTTTAGCCGAATATCAATTGAGTTGGAACGGTCAGATCTGCAGGTTTAGGGTTTAGGGTCTAGGGTTTAAGCTTTGGGGCTTGAGGTTTAGGGTTCAGGGTTGCCTAAGTTTACGAAACCAGATGCAGGATTCAGGATATGCAGCCTTAGGAACTAGGCTTCGAACTCCCAGTTTGGCCCACATACCCTCAAGAACATGCTGAAACTCTAGACCAGCGTCGGGTGCACTCTTGCCGCTCGTGGTCCACTGCAAAGAGCTTGTCAGTCAAGCCATCCTTCCGAAGGCTCGAACCGTCGTGGGGTTTTAGTATTTTAGTATGCTACATCCTGAACCGTGAATTCGCAACTCCACAACCTGCTTAAACCCTTCTTCCCACACACCCAAGAAGCTTCACTATTTTCCTTCACGATCGCGGCCACCAGGGGCGCAGCACTGCTTTGCAAGTGACAGCGCTCACTGTTGATAGTCATCATCACCACCCACCGACGTCCGCAGCACACCGCACTAATCCTAAAGTCTGCAAGCCCCAAATCCGAAGCATCCAAGACTGAAGCCATGCCCCCCCTTAGGGCGTTGGGGTCTGGGGTGTAAGTCAGCCTCTGTCGGCAAAAGGTGCTCAAGGACTCATGGGCGCCCTGCAAGGGCACGCAAAGGGTTAAATGTGGGGGCCACAGTAGCCAGTATATGCCTGTCCTTCAACCTCTTTAGTCTATCACCCCAACAAGCTACAGGTTAGTTAGTGGGTAGATCACCCTCGTTTGCCCCTCTGAGCGACCAACCCATCCGGCCAGTGCATCCATGCCCAAACCATGATAACGTCCATGCTACCAACCCATCCATTGGCCAGTGCATCCATGCCCGTTGCAGTTGGCCAGTGCATCCATGCCCGTTACAGTTCCCGTTACAGTTCCTTGTTCAAAAACAAACAAATTTTCCGCGCAGAAACATCCGGTGTTTTTTTTTTCATTTTTTGCTCCGCAACACATCATGACGGCAAGTTGGACAATGCTAACATGCGAAAGTCTCGACCCTGCCATGCTTTTTCAAATATTGTTGGAAGACAAACTGGTGCAAACGAGGTTAATCCACCCTGGTGATTGAGGCTCCCATCTAGCTTGCAGCTTGGGTTTCGCGACTTCGTTCCGCTGCACGGCACCTTCAATCGTAGAAGCTCTTACTTTTGTGCCAACTTGGCAAGAAGAACCTCCCAGAAGACCCAATCACCCAATCAAACCTCCAGGTCCTTGTAGGGCACTTGCTGCTGCGCACGGCTCCCAGCACGTCCGTTTTCATGCACCACCAAAAGGTCGCCAGATTCCTTCGGACCGGCTCTCTAGCTAGATGATTTGGGTTCCCTGGTTCAGGGCTCAAAACTGCGGGGTCTTGGCTTGCGATGCTGTTCGCATTTGCATCTCCTGGTGCCCAGAAGAAGGTCCGGAGGGCTTTGGTGGCCCCACAAACTTGCAGGTCGCATCTTCAAGCATCGAGGTTACAACGCAGCAATTTTGAGAGTTTGTCGGAACTTACGGCTACGGCCTGCAACAGGAAAACCCAACGCAGCCTAGGGGCTGCACCCTCTGTCGGCGGCCGCACGATGAGGAAGTTCCGCTCATTGTGAGCCGCGCACGCGCGCCACACCAAATCCTGAAACTATGGGCTCCGCTTTCATGCGGCTTCAAGGATCGTAAGGTAGCTACCTTACAACCCTTCTCCGGCAAGAAAGGGGATGACGATGCAAGAACCCCAGCACCCGACCAGCTTTGCCACCGGAACTCCTGGAATGCAGTCCCAACATCCGCCTCTGTCCTCGAAACTCCCTCCCTCCAGGCTCCTTGGGCAGGGTTGCAGGAGCCACGAGCTGCCGACAACGGGCCAGGACGTCCTGCGAGGGTGCTGAGGGTGGTCGAGGTTGCCTTAATTAACAATCTTAGCCATGAAAAACCAGTCTAGAACCATTTCAAAAAATCCCTAAACCCTAAACCCTAAACTCTCGACCCTTATACAAATCCTAGAGACCCTGGGCAGGATGGGCCTGTGACGGGAGAGCTTTTTTTCAGGCTTCGGGGATGGATTTCGGAGCCTTTCGCAGATCAAAGGCCCTTGGGGATGGCCCGGGAACGCTGTAGAACCGGGGGAAGCTCCGGGTTGGCTCTCTTGGCATTTAGGGTTTAGGGTTTAGGGTTTGGGGTTTAGGGTTTGGGGTTTGGGGTTTAGTGGTT